CATTAATGGATTACGTCAAATTCAACAAAATATTTCTTGCTAATGACTCCATACTAGGTATTTGTATAATTTGTATTATATCCAAATGTTTCTTAGTATTTAAATTTTGGCATTTAAAAACCCATTAAATTCATTACCTTCCTAATGATACCTACCTACCGACACGAGATGTTATAATAAATTAAAATAAAATAATTTTTGAGGAAGACTGTAACTTATCACCAAACCGAACGTTTACGTCTTCCCTCTTTTACTCTCCGAATGCGCGCTCTCTCTGTTTTCTGCGCGGACGGTTAAGATTCTGAAACCTTTTCCTATATTTGACAAATAATACATATAAATACATGGCATACTCCACAATATTGAATTTATTGAGATACACATTAAAAAACGGCCGACTTTTACCTACACATAAAATAACCTTGCATTTATCTTTCTTTATACTCAAATATTTATATTATAGCTGGTTTGTATTTTAGGTTATATCAAAGTCGAACAAAAAATGGAAATTATGGAGACACTAATTGAAGATTCATCTTATGAAGGAAATTATATGAGTCAACACTCTGAAAGAAACACATTTAATAAAAATATGAAAGTTGCGACTGGACAAGAACTTTACAAGTGCGAAATTTGTTTGAAGCAATTTAGGCATGCCGGTAATTTAAAAGCACATTTGAGAGTGCACACTGGGGAAAAAAGTTTTACGTGTGATATATGTTTAAAACCGTTTAGTACTAGAACTAGTTGGAAAATGCATTTGCATACACATACTGGAGAAAAACCTTATAGGTGTGGAATTTGTTTTAAGCAATTTAGTCAACCATCTTCTGTGAAATCACATTTGAGAGTGCACACTGGAGAAAAACCTTATAAGTGTGAAATTTGTTTTAAACAATTCGCTCAAACAGGCGTTTTGAGAAGACATCTAAGAGTGCACACTGGTGAAAAATATTACAAGTGTGAAACTTGTTTAAAGCAGTTTACTAGAACAAGTCATTTGAAACAACATTTAATAACGCACACTGGAGAAAAACCGTATAAGTGTGAAATTTGTTTTAAGCAATTTAATCAAGCAGGTAATTTGAAAACACATTTAAAAGTGCACACTGGAGAAAAATTGTACAAGTGTGAAATTTGTTTTAAACCAGTTTGGTGAAGCAGGTACTTTGAAAAGACATTTGAGAGTGCACACTGGCGAAAAACCTTACAAGTGTCAAATTTGTTTTAAGCAGTTTGCTCATGCAGTTTCTTTGAAAACACATTTGAGAGTACACACTGGAGAAAAATCTTACCAGTGTGATATTTGTTCAAACAAGTTTAGTGATGCAGGTACTTTGAAAAGACATTTGAGAGTGCACACTGGCGAAAAACCTTACAAGTGTAAAATTTGTTTTAAGCAGTTTTCCCGCCAAGATATGTTCAAAATACATTTGACAGTACACAGTGAAGAAAAACAAATTTGACGTTTATTTTAAGCAGTCTTCTTCTCAAATATTTAATATGAAACTTCATGTGAGATAACACACTGTAAAAATTTCTTTAGTTCCAATGTGCATGGGGATCCACATAGGAACGAAAATACAACGATTTCAATTCAAAGTTAGAACAATTCAAATGTAAGCTTAAATATGTTACACAGACAAAATGTAAATAATCAATTTTGCGCCAGGAGTGGTTCAATAGTAAATACACCAAAAAGGTTTTCGTTTTCAGAAGAGTAATGTCGCAATGTATTGCAAAACATTGTGACATGTGAAACAGAAGAGTAAGCCCGGAAGTGAAAGAGGGCGACAGACATTTGACTCTACACACACACTTGTCGCATGTTTCTTTAGATGTAATTATTAGTTTGTCTTTAATAAATTATATATCATATACAGAAACTGGTCATCTATTCGAACAAAAAAACCCACAGCGTAGAACAAACCTTTGTACGTCCTCCCCTATGTTCGAACAAACCACCATTTTACGCAAAACAAAATCCGAATATATCAATTAAAGAAAGTCTCATTGCATTTAGCAGATTTGGCTGTACTCGACTACAGAGTTGAACATTTTTTTCTTGCAATTCTGCTAAATTGGTGGCTTGTTCGAATTCGTACCGATATAATTTTGATTTTAACATTCCCCAGAAATAAAAATCCAAAGGTGTTAAATCTGGTGATCTAGGGGGTCATTTTATTGTTCTTTGTGTAGAAAAAAGTGTATTGTTAATCGTCCAAGGAATGTTTGTTCCAAATAATCTGATTGCGTAATAAATCTAGCTACTTACGTCCATTCTGATTTCCCGTAATAAAAAATAGACAATTATAGTATCGTTATAAATTCTAGTCCAGTTACTCAGAAACGAACAGTGTGAGACATGTGAACAATTTAATCTCCACGCTCATACTAAAGAAAATATGTTGGATGATTGAGACATATGCATTAATTGGAAAAACCATATCGAATAGCTACAGAAAGTCGTAAACTTAATAGAATATCAGTCACAATGGTCGAAAGAAATGAAAATGAGCAATGTTTTAAAGGGGCAAATGGATTTTTTTATATTCAGTGTAAAATCTAGGGATTTTTGACCGGCTCAAACATTTATCTACATAGGTCTATTATACTAACATTTTCTTTAATTCAGATATAAAACCACTTCATATTAACAGTATAAAATAACCGATCTTTCATTACAAATAATTAAACTACTTAAGGATTCTATTATCAGATGTCGCTAACTGTCCACGTTTTTGGAATCTTTATTTTATGCTACCAAATAGATTTCTGCCAAAAATAGATTCCTATATATTTTCAGAAAGGAGAAGCAAATTCTGGAGCAGGAACTAGGCGATTTACAAAAATCTGAGGTTTTATAAAATAAATAATTAGGGGATTTACAGTAGGAATCAGGTGAATTACAGGATTCGTGGAAATATATAAATGAAATTCTATGCTTCACCCTCTCATTTCTCTTCAAGTTGTATTTTTTAATTTTATTAAATGAATAATACATAATATATTAAATGCAATATTCAAAGCCATAAATAAATACGTTATTCCGTTTTTCTTAAATTTATTCAACTCATCGCTATTGTAGCGATGATATATCCATGTTATTATATTAGGCAACCATCAATATATCCCATCATTTTATTCAGAATTAGGCAACCATATATACATTTAGGGAGGACAAAAATTTTCACCTGGCAACCCTGATTGTATATATGCTTCATCTAATTTACATACCGTTGCACGTCATTATCATTGACATAGATCGAGTTGCATAGTTGCCAAAGTATAAAAAATCCTTACTCCATTTAAATCAAATAGATCATATACATCTCCTTACAACGACTATTTAAATTCTTATATTACATTTTTGAAATAAAATACACTAATTTTGTTCTAAAAAGAACAGTTTTTATTAAATAGGTAAAAATATAAAACAAGAGGTATTCACTTTAAAATTCAAAATAATAAAGTACAAAAAGTGTCAACACCGCAACTATCAAATAAGTGTTACCAATTTATGCCAAAATATCACTAGTGTCTCTAGAGCCTGACCCACTATTCTGTGCAGATTTGCGCAGTTCATTTGTATTCATTTCTGAATGTGTCAATAGTCAATGATGTTTATATCTATTTATTAAAAATGATGAATAGTTCCTCGAAAAGCTCTGGTTTTTTTAATATTCTTTGTTGCGCATATGTTTCCAATAAAAATGTGTTATACAGAGTGTGATGTCATGTAAATACTGATGCCAACTTTATTATTTTAGATGGAACACCAGGTATATTATTTAGTTATTGGATCCAATATAAAATACAAAGAACTTTATCAATATATTGGATTGCTATGCTTTTATATAACTGTTTTTATTATACAATGTATTAAAGGCAGAATCCCTTCTATATTAACTTTTAAATATATAGCCTTTAAGGTACTACTTATGTACATTCCATTTCACACCTCTTAAAAATATATGCAGGTTTCATTTATTTGACATAATATCTATTTTAAAAGAATATAGGTACATATCTTAGAGTACTATATACATTATTAAAAACAAGTTGAGAGACGAAAATGAACTCACTCATTTTTATTGAAATTAGGTATAGAACCTTTTAAAGTCATAAGGAGACAGCAGAGAGTGACCTATTCATTAACCGCCCCGTATCCTAATGCCAGTGTACTCGGCAAAGTGATTCTAAAAAAAGAACACACCTATGGCCTAAATATTTCGTGTTGGTGTCATGTGACGTCACGGGCTATGACGTGCATCGATATGTAAATTACATGAAGTGTACATACCTCTGAGTTTACCGAAAATACAAGCTGATTATAGCCGCAAATGTCAAACATGGAACAAAAATTTCGGTTTAGCACTTTAGCAGTGTTGGCATGTTTTTATGCAGTTGTAGATAAGATACAGTATGCTTCAAATATAAAAATATAAAGCTTTAGTAAGAGTACATTTTGTTTATATAATGTTATGAATTCTGCAATTTTTTATTTATATAAAATAAGAATAAGTAAATATTTGTTTTTTGAAGATTAATTGCAGTTAATTATTAGAAATTTGTTAGGCCATTACCATTTGATAGATTAGGAAATATATTTGGCAATCGTCAAATCAGTAGTTGCCAGATTGCAACAGATGTTTGCAATTAATCTCGAAAAAGACAAATATTTACTAGTAATTCTTTCATATAAATTAAAAATTGCAGAATTCGAAAGTAGTATAATCACAATGTACTTTTTAAAAGCTTTCTCTATATTTGAAGGTTACAACATACGCATTACAAAAACACCCCAACCCCAGAGATATCTCTCTTACATATCTCTGAAACACCCATCCAACACATTTATTGATGCTCGATGGAAACACCCCAACACTGCCAAACCGAAATATTTTATTTCATGTTTCATGGTTGACATTTGCGGCTATATTCAGCTTGTACTTTCGCTAAACTCAACAACCCCTTATCCTTCTAAAATTGGTTTCTGTAAATTTTAAATTTTTATAGTAATTTCGTTTTTTGGGTTTACCAAATTTATTATTTGTATACATAAAACCAAGTTCCCGCAAATGGAAGTAAAACAAGAAATTAGCGGGGCAATGTGTAAAGTAGAGATAGAGTCTAATGAGTTGGATGATGCTCTTTTGGGACGTTTTAAATGTGAAATACAGGAGGAATCTAATAGGCAAAGTACACGTAACACATATGATTATTTGGACTTAAATAATTGTTCCATAAATACTAAAATAGAGCGACATGGAAATAAACTTAACCCATTTGAAGAACATCAAAAAACTGAAAAAGGTTAGTTACAATATATTTAAGTCCTCCCATATTAATTTACAATAATAAATAGGAATAACTATTTTACCAGCTAATATAATTTTGATCCGAAATACAATTTAAGGGCATAAGAGAATATTACAAATTAAGTGTAATGATATGTTGTTAAAAAAAGAAATATGAACCACAGAAAAAGACAAATCTGATTTACAGTATTTGTGCCAAATGTCAGCAACATTAGTTCATCATCATCATAAGTTGTGGATTTTGGCCTGCTCACAAAGAAGTTGCCACTGATAAGTCGATTCCTGGCAACTTTCCTCCATCTTCTAACCCTAAGAATCTGTAGGTTTTCTTCCACATCATCAATCTATCTCATTTGTGGTCGTCCACTGCTTCTTATGCCCACTGGGTTTGAAAATGTTAATCACTTTGTGTATTCGTGATTTGTCATAGAAAGCGAAAGTACTTGGGCAAGATTTGATTATTAAATTTGTGCTCAATATTTGCCTTAATTTTCAAAGTTCATTTATTCGAGCATTCAACCTTATATCAATTAATCTGTGAAGTGGCAAATTCAAATTAAGGCTTCTTGTATTATATTCATGATTGGGAAGCAGGTGATAAAACAAAGAAAATTTTTTAAAAAGGAACATAATACATTCAAATATATAGATGGCTGAAAAAGTGAATATATTGACTGATTTGAATCAGCCTCTACAGGATTCTCCCGCCTTTAGTCCTAAGATCACCGGTCTGCCTTTTTTGGACTATAAAGACAGTTGAGCTATCTACTGCAGCACCCTAGAAGATTACTCCATATCGCATAACAGAATAAAAGTTTGCATAATATACTGATAGTAAAATCCCCTGGTCTAGATAGCTCTTTAACAGTCTTAATGAGTAACAGGCTCTATTCAGTTTTTTTGTTGTATTTTGTATTTGTTCCCCCCAATTCAGATTCTGGTCAATATGAATACCAAGAAATTTAACTGATCTAGCAGGTTCCGTGTTTTGTGATAGAAAATTAATTGTATCTGGAAACTGTTCTCGTGACTGGCTGGTTCTAAAGTAGACAAAACTTGTCTTATCAGTATTAAGCAACAACCGATTTGCACTGAACCAATGTTCAGCTTTGCTTAGAATTTGCTCTATTTGATTATTGCATTAATTTTTCCTTATACTCAAATATTTATATCACAGTTGGATTGTATTTTAGGTTATATCCAAGATGAACAAAAAATGGAAAATATGGAGACACTAATTGGAGATACATCTTATGAAGAAAATTATATGAGACAACATTATGAAGGAAAAACATTAAATAAAATGATGAAAATTGCAGCTGGACAAAGACCTTACAAGTGTGAAATTTGTTTTAAACAGTTTAATACTGCAAGTGCCTTGAAAAAACATTTGAGAACTCATACTGGAGAAAAACCTTATAAGTGTGAAATTTGTTTAAAACAATTTAGTGAAGCAGGTACATTGAAAAGACATTTGAGAGTGCATACTGGGGAAAAACCTTACAAGTGTGGAATTTGTTTAAAACTATTTAGTATTATAACTAATTGGAAAATGCATTTGCGAACACATACTGGAGAAAAACATTACAAGTGTGAAATTTGTTTTAAGCAGTTTAATACTGGAGGTGACTTGAAAAAACATTTGAGAACTCATACTGGAGAAAAACCTTACAAGTGTGAAATTTGTTTAAAACAATTTAGTGAAGTAGGTACATTGAAAAGACATTTTAAAGTGCATACTGGGGAAAAACCTTATAAGTGTGAAATTTGTTTAAAACAATTTAGTGAAACAGCTACATTGAAAACACATGTGAGAATGCACACTGGGGAAAAACCTTATACATGTGAAATTTGTTTAAAACAGTTTATTACTATAAGTAATTGGAAAAGACATTTGAGAACACATACTGGAGAAAAACCTTATGAGTGTGATATTTGTTTTAAGCAATTCAGTCAAGCAAGTAGATTGAAAACACATTTGAGAGTGCACAGTGAAGAAAAATCTTATGAGTGTAAAATTTGTTTTAAGCAGTTTTCTAGCAAAAATATTTTGAAAATACATTTGAAAGTGCACAGCGAAGAAAACCAAATGTGATTTATTTTAAGCAATTTTCTTTTCAAGTATTTAATATGAATCTTTATTAGTTTTGCCTGCCGTCTTGGTCTATGTGACTGAGAAAAATGTTGCTCTGTATGCCAATGAGATATATTTGTTATGGCGAGCACGCCACTGTGTGTTCACCCACGCATATAATCTCGAGGTGTCAGTGATATGTCCATAACTATGAGAGATTTTTAAGATATAGTTTGTATTCATTAAGTTAGTATAGTTTTATACTCTAAGCTGTAAACAACTAAATAAATTTGTGCATTTCCTTCAGAGTTTCGTTACTTAATTATCCAACAAACACATATCATTTTATACAGAATAAAATTACTGCAGTCAGTAGAATTTCCAATTAGAAAATAGAATGTATTAGTATAATAATACCGCTATTCCACTCCGCTGGTAGCTGTTTATTCGACCATATCTTTGTTATCAATTCATGTATTGTTTTTTGTAGTGCGTCTCCTCCTTCCTTCAGTAACTCCGATGCTATTTGATCCGATCCCGGTGCTTTATTGTTCTTTAATTTGTCTACTGCTGTTGATCTCGGATAGTGTTGGTGGAGCCTTTTCTCTGTTGCCTTAATATTATATTGCATGCTCTTTCAGGATTTATTTGTGATAAGGCAACACTGCCAAATACAGATCTGTCAGTAATTTGTGGCCAATTTCATCGGCACTTTATAAATAGGTCATCGTCGCGTCTGTATTCCTGAGTTTTTTCTCAGCTGATTGTGACGTAACTGTACTGCAGGGTTACCAATACATCACAAGTTCATATTTTTATTTTAATCATTTAAGGATAATCAAACTACATTTTGTCATTTAAAGTCAACAAAATGGCGTTTTGTCCATCAATATATGTTTTTTTTTTGAAAAAACTGATGAAACTTATAAATAAAAAGTACATTTATTCATATTTTGTGTTTTTATTTTAACTTTATTAATAATTGAGTAGCAGTTTTTCTCACTTCCTTAAAAATGTTTAAAATGGACAAAGCACGATATGAAAGTCTGCTTCTCATATGGTAAAAGAAGGACAGAACCCTAAATTACTTCACCCCAATTTAATGCATGTTACATGTCTTCTGCACGGGATAAACCGAGTAGCAGAAACCTTCAGAACAGAAATTCCGTTAGTAAATAAGCTAATTTCAAATATTAAAAATGTATTCATCAAAGCCGCTCTAAGAGTGCAGATGTATAGGGAGATATTGTCTGGAGTTAGTTTACCACCAGAACCTGTAATTACCAGATGGGGAACATGGATTAACGCGTCTAAATTCTACGCTGAATATTTTGATGCCGTTAAAGACTTCATTTTGGACATGGAGACGCTCAGAATGTAGTTCAAAGTAAGGGACTTGTTACAAAGTCCAATTGTAACTAGAGATTTACTTTTTATTAAAGTTAATTTTGGCTTTAGGTATATCAGATATGATCACATCGTTAGAGAGTGGACAATTAGGTTTAAGATAGCCCTATTCCACTATTACCCCCATTTAAAAAAATACCTAATTAAATGCAGAAATTGTATTCGCATTGGCCGCAAATGCTACATTGGATCAAAGTTCTCTGTTTTTACCGAATTCGCCACAAATATCTTCGTTAACGTCTCTATCACGGTCATCGTCATCATCTTCAGATGATATATCTTCTGTGTTCTTATACAATTTCTTTGTGGAACTATTCGCGGAGGACTGGACTCTTCGATGCGTATTTTTCGTTTGGTTCCTTTGCTGGCTTTATTTCTCATTTGCTCTTCCTTCTCCCGCTGTTTTTCTTCTAGAAGTAACTTCATTGGTGTTGATGTCATTATTTCGAAATGTTGCTTTTCTGGTTGGATATTTTATTTCCAACTGAGTCATCTTTTGAGCATCTTGGTAATGGAATTATGCCAACAAAAGATACTTCAAACTTTTTGTCATGTGTCGAACTTTCTTTATTCCACTTAATTTCCTTAATATTCTTCTCCTCATCTAATCCACTTTTTTTCTCTTGGTCTAGTGTCTTTTTATCTTTTTCTTGTATGAATGATTCACCTAGAGCAAAGTCTTTATCGGTAAAATTTTCAGGATTATATGGAAATATTCCTGTATTCTCAAAATTTTTAATGGCTTTGACTGGTGTGGCTTCGCGACCGTTATTTCAGCTATTTTAAATGTCGTGATATGCTCAAGAGGATGACTTCGAAGATAATTGCCACATTTAATGTTATACGATGATCTTTAACGATGAGTAAAAAGCTATATCCAGCGGTTGGAGTCAATGCGATGTGTGCGCATTGTTAACATAATAATTCCTTGTACTTTACAAAAATTATATGTCTCTAATATACAGTGGCTACTGTGATTGTCGACGATTAACAAAACTGGATCCTCCTTTGAAGGTTTTACAACACTGTAAAAATGCTGGAGCCATTCGAGAAATATTTGTGCATTTATCCACCCATTATCCGAGTAGCAGTAGACTGCACCAGGTGGCCATTGTTCTTTAACTCTGGTTTTATCCTCTTGAGGGCAAAAATAAACAAAGGTGGAATATATGTTCCTGAGGCACTTATGCAGCACATAATTTTTGTTGTTTGACCTCTCTCTGCGCTTGTAATAAAGCCGACTCTCTCTTGTCCCTTTTCAGCAAGTAATTTTCTGGGGTTTTGGATGGTTGGTATGCGTCTATATTCTTTGCTATGACTATAATCTTGACAAGTGTGTGTAATTTCTTCGATCCACCCAGCTTTGGTGTTAAAAGTAGCTTTCGTTGATAATTGGTTTGCTCAAAACTCATTAATATCTTCTTGGTTTGGGTACTACTTGTTGACACTTTGTTTCTACTAGTGTTTCCTATAATTATCGAGTTTCATTTCGTTACCCGAGTGCTCAAACACATCTTCAGTGTGTTACTGACTTTGTATCTATTGTTTTAATATATCGAGGCACTGTTGAGCCTTTTTTTATTTGGATTATGTATCGGGATGAACGACATTATTTCTTCAGCTCTCTACCTTTCTATTACTGACTACGGAATGTTTTGTAAAAATAATGATAAATATATGATTATATAAACCATCTGCACAGATCATCGAGCAAAAAGACAGTCTTGTCACAGTATAAGAGGTGGAACCTCTTTATACTGTGGTCTTGTCTTGGCCAGAGAACTTGTTCGTAGTATCGTAGTTCTCTGTCTGTCTTGGCCATCGAGCAAAAAGACACAGATATACAGACACAGATTTTACACAAAATCTTAGATTAGGCAACCAATCATACAATTAAAAATTTCCAGGTTATGTTACATCTTACATCATGCCAAAGCCAATGACAGTTGTTTGTTTATAAAACAAGAATCTAGCCCTGAGGGCGAGAAATTAATTTAATTCCCTTATCCGGTTTTGATTAAATAATATGGGTATTAAATTAATAACAGCAACCGAACGGCATAGGCTTCAGAAGCACAACTAGTAACAATATGGGTTAAAACAGGATAAGAAAAATGTTTTATTACAAATTGAAATTCACAGCAACTGCAATTATAGTTTTTACAATATTCACCATAATATATTTTATCAAAACAAGCAACAATGACGATATAGATCAATTTGAGAAGAAATACCGAGAAATACTCGTCCGACCGCCCAAATATGAAAAATTATTTCAAATGAATAACTTTCACTATGTACTAAATGCTAAAAAATGTGAAGAGAATTCAAAAATACAAGCTTTATTTGTAATAACATCATATTTTGGGAATGTAGAAACCAGAAGTGCAATGAGAAGAGCCTTTCCTGAAGAAGATCTGAAATTAATTAACTTAAAAAGAGTCTTTTTACTGGGGTTAGCACCAAATGATAAATATACTACTCAGGCATCTGTAGAATCTGAAAGTAAGAGATTTAAAGATATAATACAAGGAAGTTTTGTAGAAGCCTACAGAAACCTCACATATAAGCACATTATGGGTCTTAAATGGGCAGCCGAAAACTGTTTCAATGTTGATTTTATTATAAAAATGGATGATGATACAGTTGTTAACGTAGATAAGATTCCTGCAGTATTAAAATTGTTCAAGGTACCTAAAAGCAAACATTTTATAGCAGGTTATGTGTTAAGAAATATGGTACCAATTCGAGAACCTGCTAATAAGTGGTATGTTACTCAGAAAGAATATGATTTATCCTATTATCCAACATTTGTTTCTGGGTGGTTTTATATCACTACTCCTAAAACAGCAAATGAACTTGTTCAAATAAGTCAGATTTCTGAATATTTTTGGATTGATGATACTTTTATAACAGGTATTTTAGCACAAAAGCTAAAAATAAAACATTTTGATATTAGTAAGTATTATGCTGAACATTCAGAATATATGGAATGTTGTCTTGATGATATTCGCAGCAAAAATTTAAGTTGTGATATTTTAATAGGGCCAAATGGTGGTAACAATAATTTATTTTATGAATTTAACAATGCTGTTAGTATATGCAATTTAAATTTATGTAAAAATAGGACCAAATCTCTAAAAGAAACTTGTGTGGCCAAAAAATCAGTTCATTTAGGGCATGGGCAGCCTTTGGTTGAAACATATAAATTGCATTAGTTTTAAGTAGAGTGTTCAAAGAGGAATTGCATATTTTTGTTTATTTTGATGATTTAACTACAACTACTACTGGTAATTAAATATCTTAGATTCCAATTTTTATCATTCCAATCATTGTTTGTAGATTTCCCTGACACATTTGTTATTTAGTTAAGTTTTCTGTAGATGACCTGTTATACTTTTATGTACCTTTGCCAGTGCATTAATTTTTTCTAACTATATATCTGAGCCTATATGTTTTTTGATACTTCCTACATGCTTCCTATGTACAAGGGAGGAGACAAATGACTCCGCAAAAATTGTAGGAGCATAACACTGTTAAATGTTCACTACCAGATATTGTACAAAAACTGTTCTTGCCCAGATACATTTTATTAAAACACAGTTTGAAAAAGCTTTTTGACTTTTTAGCTTTTAAACAATCATAATAACTTTGACATTTTTTGTCACATGATTGTTAGTAGGCTCAATGAAAAGCTGGTGAAAAAGCATGCTTTCCAAAAGAAAACAAAACCTTCTATGACCAATAGGAAACAAGATACTTAGCATTTTTTTCCAAAAATCATATTTCCATTATTTATTAACGTTAAGAGCTGAGTATTGAACAAATTATAAATGAAGATCTAAATTTGATTATCCATTTTATAGATGGTATATACTGAGACGAAGCAAAAAATTATAATGCGTTAACATGATGGTATTTGTAAAATACCACCGCAGAAATGTTTTTGCCATATAATTAGATCTTCATTTAGAATCCTTTTAATTTTCAGCTCTTAATGTTAATAAACACAAATTCTACATGAACTGAAAATATATAAAATAGGAATCACTGTAGTACAAAAAACTAAATGATTGGGACAAGGTATCCAGGACACTAAAACACACATTATACTGTGTAGCGGTAAAGATGAAGGAAATAAAAAATTTGGAATAGCCTTTATCGCAGATAATATAAAATGAAGCACCTGATAACAGACTTTCAAGCCATCAATGAAAGAATCTGCAAGCTTAGGATAAAAACACATTTCTTTAACATAACCCTTAAAAATGTACACTGTCCCACAAATGAACCAGATGAAGACATTAAGGTAGCCTTTTATCAAGATCTAGAATGAATCTATGATTCAATACCAAGAAATGACATGAAAATGGTGATAGGCGACAAAAATGCCAAGATCGGAAAAGAAGAAGAGTACATAGGGGTAATAGGGAAACATAAGACCTGTTCGAAGACCTAAAAAGAGATGGGAAGACGAAGTCAATGAGGATGCCAGGAACTGCCTGGGAACGCGTTCATGGAAAAGAACAGGGACAAATCGACATGATTGGAGAAGCTTGGGGAAGGAGGCCAAGGATCGATTTTGGCTGTAGTGCTATTGAATGGATGGATGGAATTTTATTAAACAATAGACATATTATTTTAAGAATAAAATGTTATTTTGGTTCCTATTGGACATGGAAAATTCTGTTTTTTTTTAAGTGTGTTTTTTCAAAGGTTTTGATTGAGCTTACATATAAGCGTGTGCCGTAAACAATATTAAAGTTATTATTAATGTTTATAAGCTAAAAGTCACCCTTTTTTTAAACTGTTTTTTAATAAAGAATTTAATAAAATGTTTTGTTAATATACCGTAAAACTGAAGCTTCAAAAAATCGATTGCAATTTACAAAATACACCTAGAGTGACTTCACCTTCTTCCACCTTTTGGAAACTCAAAATAAAGAACTTTTTACAATCTACAACTTTTATTTGAAATATTTTTCTCTAGATTGTATAATAAACTTCTTATGGGCAAAAAACTATGTTTTTCAGGTCATAAGATTGTTAAAAAAAAACAACAACAAAATCAGCTGTGTCTTCACGAATTTTTCATCAGCTACCACTTCTACACCTTTCAGCTGGAACCTTCAAATATTAGTATAAGATTTTTTCAGCTTTTTCTCTTCATTGACTGGGGTACTTAGCATTATTGTTTGTATGGGTAAATGTTTGTTTGAAAAATTTTAAGTTAGATTCACAATTTATTGTGTACATTAAATTCGCACTCTTAATATTCCGCTAAAAATGCACTTTGTGGTAAAATGTGACAGTGACAGTCTAGAGATTTTGGATTAACTTAGGGACCCTCATTTACTCCATGATGTTTCATAGTTTACTCCATTCAATGTCGTTAACGTCATATAACTAATCAATCAAAGCTCTTGCTCGCTTATTATTTAGTAACTTCCTTTATGTTTAATATGTGTTTTCCCAAGAATAAGTCATTTTCCGTCTTCCGTAAATTTTAAATGTGTAATTCTTCTGTTGTTTGTGAATACAATCTTGCTAATACAAATTCAGTTATTTTGTAGCTGGTACGGAGTGTATTAATATCCTGATCATGGCTTTACTTAGTAATTCAAAGCTGTCTTTCGGACGAGTTATTTTAAAAGACCTTGTTACATTTTTTATTTTATTATGCATAACCTTTTTGGAATAGACTACATGTTTGTGGCAAAAACTTATATCAGTAATTTTTTTATTGTTGCCAAGTATAAGCTAACTTAAATTGCTTTGTGTACATTATTGTAAGGCCTAATACACTATAAGTGACTTATATATTTTACTACTAACTATTTTGTAAAATATTTAAAAATATATTATGTATACAACTTTATATTTCTATTTTTATGCACAATGGGAAAATATTTCATACTGAAATTTAGATCTGTAATTTTCCGTTTTTCTGTAAGAATTATTAATATTATTGTTATATTATTTTTTATAAAAGTGATGTCAATATGACATTATAATCAGTTGGTACAACTTTGTAATGAGTCTCTCCAAATATCTTTGAACAAACAAATTAAAATCTGACAAGTCTGTACTTGTATACTGTACTGTAGTATAGGCATAAACATATGCCAGCTTGTTTATCTGTTTTCTGTACTTCTTCTTTAAGTAGTACTTCCAGTGTGTATACATTTATCTGCAATTTGTTCATACTGTCCTACTTCATCTACATCAACTACATCACCAAAAGAATGATTGTGACCTACAAGGTGAAATGTGTATGTAGAATATGTTTTTCTATTATTCAAAGCCCTTTTGTGTTCTGCTATACATTTGTTAAAGGTTCTTCCAGTTTGACTGGTGTAAGTTTTTGGGCAGTAACCAAATGTATTTATATATACACCACTGTATAAGTGCTTTTTCATTTGGCTCTTACCTGGTGAGACGCTTAGGCAAGACATGTCGGTAAAGGAACCACTAGGGGAGGTAATGCCGTCATCCGGGGCAATTCCGTCAGCGAGTGTTTTCACAAAATGTTAGTCCTGCACGCACCTGACTAACGCTGAGACATAGCTTCCGATTGAACGTGCTTTGATCAGTGCAGCTATTGCCACTTTCAAGGTTAGTTCGTGCGAATATCAGTAAACCGTTATAGTTTCATGTTTCTACTTACTTCTGCCGTATTTATAACTCGAATTAAGTGTGATAATAAGGTTCTTAACTGGTTTGTTGAATATGTCCTTTAATAATATGATACCTTAGATACTTTTCAGTGAGATTGCTTTTAAATGTTTGTTTATTGTTTGTAGTATGTTGTTCTCGATGGGTAATTCCGTCACTTTACTTAGGGGTAATGCCGCCATGACGGTATTGCCCCGTATTTTCTTATTGAAATGAAAGGTCAACAACGCATTTTTTGTGATTTTCAGATGGTACGATCACGTAAAAGAATAACAGAAAAGGCTAGGTGGAAGGTGGAAAACCTCAAAAATGCTATTGGAAGCAGTTCGCCAAAATGGTGTCTCACAAAAAAGCAGCTACAATGTTTGACATACTCCGAACAACATTAAGGGATAGGCTAAAGGCAAATGATGGTAGTAAGCCGAGATTGTAAGAACAAAACTTAGCAGAACATGGGGTTAACCTATCAAAACTATTTTATGGCATCACTACAAATGAACTAAGGCGACTGGCTTTCGAATTGGCTGATAAACATCAAATCAAACACAACTGTAGCAAAGAGACCAAGTTGGCCGGGATATATTGAAAAGAAAAGGTCAAAGTATTTAATAAAGACGAACTTGAATTTGTTTTATAAAAATTTAGACACTGTAATGACTAAGTATAACTTTTCACCGAACCGTATCCATAATATGGACGAAACTGGAATTTCCACAGTACAAAAACCGGGAAAAATTCTTGCGCCAAGAGGACAGAAGTAAGTGGGAGGAGTTACGAGTTGGGAGCTTGGTAAGAATATCACTGTAGTGTGTGCCATGAGCGCTTCAGGAATATATACGTCCCCAATGTTTATTTATCCAAGGAAACGGATGTCACCTTTGTTGCAGCGAGGAGGACCTCCTGGAGCCATTTATAGATATTCACACAATGGATGGTCCAACGAAGATTTATTTTTAGATTGGCTGAAACATTTCCAGAGAACCACTAAGTCAATTGAAGAGGACCCTATCCTTCTGTTAATGGATAATCATGGAACCCATATTTCTTTGCCATGTTATAACTTTTGTCGTTCAAACCACATTCACGTTGTGTCGCTTCCACCCATTCTTCGCACAGACTTCAGCCCTTAGATGTATCTTTCTACGTGCCTCTTAAGAATGCGTTCAATAAGGAGTGTGATAATTTTATGAAAACAAATTTTCATCAAAAAATCACTCCATACGATATTGCTACGATATTTAGCAAAGCTTACTTGAGGATTGCTATCCTTGAAAAGGCAGTGGCAGGATTCAAAGCACGTGAAAATTTTTCCGTTTCAACCAGATAAATTCAGTGAAGAAGATTTTGCTGCTGCTCTTTCAGTCTGAGTAAATAATTGTTGAGAACAAGGAGGAACATTCTGAAAAACTCAATGATACCTCTACTAATGAGGCAACTATTAATGAAAAATCCTCCCGAAAGCCTGCTACTGCTATTGCTATCGAGATTATTAATCGTAGTCAACCAGGGACATCGTCAGGAAAAGTAGATTTTTCAAAAAGCATTCTCGACATTTCACCAATGCCAACTTACAGGACCGATCCTAAACAAAAAGGTCAGGATAGAAAGCAACATTCTATTATTCTGACTTCGACATTAATGAAAGATATCCTGCAAGATGCTAAATAAAAAAGGGAGTTGAAGCAAAAAGCGAAATCAGTGAAACGAAATTTTACAGATTGCGAAAATAACAAAAATATTGGAAAAAAAAATCAAAAAAATTGAAACAAGACAGAAGGACGTTTATATCTGAAAACGAGCTTTCTAAGAATAAAAAAAAACAAAGAAAATGAAGAAAACCATCAGACCAAAATTCGATTTTGTTGAAACATCGTCAGAAGATTTTGATGATGACAAACTTTGTGATGCTGATTCAAATTATATCTCCCTACCCACTGTGCCGATAAGGAGAAATGTTAAATTTGTGGAGAATTTGGAGACACTGAACTTTGGTATCACTGTACACTTTGCTCGAAATGGGCTCATTCTCAATGCAGTAGAAAAGACGGTGCCAAAAATTATGTTTGTGACTTCTGTGAATAGAATAATAGGTTGTTTTTAGGTTATATTTTCATTTACCATTCATTATATTGTTATTTTTTTATGTTTCCAAATAAAATTTCAATAAAGATATTTGCTTAGAACATGGTTTATAAAGAAGTCTTATC